ATGTGTCAGGGGCGTGCACGTGTAGTGTCAGGGGCGTGCACGTGTAGTGTCAGGGGCGTGCACGTGGATGTGTCAGGGGCGTGCACGTGGATGTGTCAGGAGCGTGCACGTGTAGTGTCAGGGGCGTGCACGTGTAGTGTCAGGGACGTGGATGTGTCAGGGGCGTGCACGTGTAGTGTCAGGAGCGTGCACGTGTAGTGTCAGGGGCGTGCACGTGTAGTGTCAGGGACGTGGATGTGTCAGGGGCGTGCACGTGTAGTGTCAGGGGCGTGCACGTGGATGTGTCAGGAGCGTGCACGTGGCGTGCACGTGGATGTGTCAGGAGCGTGCACGTGTAGTGTCAGGGGCGTGCACGTGTAGTGTCAGGGGCGTGCACGTGTAGTGTCAGGAGTGTGCACGTGTAGTGTCAGGGGCGTGCACGTGGATGTGTCAGGGGCGTGCACGTGGATGTGTCAGGGGCGTGCACGTGGATGTGTCAGGAGCGTGCACGTGTAGTGTCAGGGGCGTGCACGTGTAGTGTCAGGGACGTGGATGTGTCAGGGGCGTGCACGTGTAGTGTCAGGAGCGTGCACGTGTAGTGTCAGGGGCGTGCACGTGTAGTGTCAGGGCGTGCGTGCACGTGTAGTGTCAGGGACGTGGATGTGTCAGGGGCGTGCACGTGTAGTGTCAGGGGCGTGCACGTGTAGTGTCAGGAGCGTGCACGTGGATGTGTCAGGGGCGTGCACGTGTAGTGTCAGGGGCGTGCACGTGGATGTGTCAGGGGCGTGCACGTGGATGTGTCAGGGGCGTGCACGTGGATGTGTCAGGAGCGTGCACGTGTAGTGTCAGGGACGTGGATGTGTCAGGGGCGTGCACGTGTAGTGTCAGGGGCGTGCACGTGTAGTGTCAGGGGCGTGCACGTGTAGTGTCAGGGGCGTGCACGTGTAGTGTCAGGGGCGTGCACGTGTAGTGTCAGGGGCGTGCACGTGTGTAGTGTCAGGGGCGTGCACGTGTAGTGTCAGGAGCGTGCACGTGTAGCGTCAGGGGCGTGCACGTGTAGCGTCAGGGGCGTGCACGTGGATGTGTCACACTCTGCTGGTTCTGTTCTGTTCTGTTCAGGTTTTATCAAGACTCACAGCTTTGACTCAAAATGAGAAAGAACATTTCCTCTAATAATGGATTTAAAATCAGCACCAGAACATGGACCAGACCAGGACCAGACCAGGACCAGACCAGGACTAGACCAGGACTAAACCAGGACCAGACCAGGACCAGACCAGGACCAGACCAGGACCAGACCAGGACTAGACCAGGACTAGACCAAGTTTAAAGCAGCACTATAACCTAATTGTTCAGGGTCCGTTTGCATCCTTGAGTCTGGTTTGGTTCTGGTCCCTTTGGTTCTGGTCCGTTTGGTTCTGGTCCCTTTGGTTCTGGTCCGTTTGGTTCTGGTCCGTGTCCTTGTCGAGTCGCTGGTTTCTTGTGGAGGAGGCGACGTGTCGTAAAAATGAAATAATAATTGGTCTCGTTAATAAAACCTCCAGTCTGTGATTTTTCATTTCTCTTCAAACGACACCGTTTGGACCCAAACTGGACCAGAGATAAACCAGAACTAAACCGGGTCTAAACCAGGACTAAACCAGGTCTAAACCAGGACTAAACCAGGACTAAACCAGGACTAAACCAGGTCTAAACCAGGACTAAACCAGGACTAAACCAGGACTAAACCAGGACTAAACCAGGACTAAACCAGGACTAAACCAGGACTAAACCAGGACTAAACCAGGTCTAAACCAGGACTAAACCAGGTCTAAACTCTGGTCTTGTCCGCTCACATTTATCAGACCTGTTTATTTCTGCACGATTCCCCAAAACACCAAAGACACAGGCCCATGAGCAAGACACTCCGGACTGAACCGGGTCTAGAGCAGGTCTAGAGCAGGTCTGGAGCAGGTCTAGAGCAGGTCTGGAGCAGGTCTGGAGCAGGTCTAGAGCAGGTCTGGAGCAGGTCTGGAGCAGGTCTAGGTCTGGAGGTCTAGGAGGTCTAGAGCAGGTCTAGAGCAGGTCTGGAGCAGGTCTGGAGCAGGTCTGGAGCAGGTCTGGAGCAGGTCTGGAGCAGGTCTGGAGCAGGTCTGGAGCAGGTCTAGAGCAGGTCTGGAGCAGGTCTGGAGCAGGTCTAGAGCAGGTCTGGAGCAGGTCTGGAGCAGGTCTAGAGGTCTCTGGGTCATTTCTCCGACACGATAATGACACAAAATGCAGGAGGTGTTTGTGTTTCATTTTCTGACAAACAAACGTCGAGTTTCTGGAAAATGGAAACATCACGAACGTCCAACAAAAAAAACAACAAGACGAATGAGGATTTAACCTGCAGCCTGTGTGTTTGACGTGTGTCTGTGTCTCTGTGTTTGACGTGTGTCTGTGTCTGTGTGTTTGACGTGTGTCTGTGTCTCTGTGTTTGACGTGTGTCTGTGTCTCTGTGTTTGACGTGTGTCTGTGTCTGTGTGTTGACGTGTGTCTGTGTGTTTGACGTGTGTCTGTGTCTCTGTGTTTGACGTGTGTCTGTGTCTGTGTGTTTGACGTGTGTCTCTGTGTTTGACGTGTGTCTGTGTCTCTGTGTTTGACGTGTGTCTGTGTGTTTGACGTGTGTCTCTGTGTTTGACGTGTGTCTGTGTGTTTGACGTGTGTCTCTGTGTTTGACGTGTGTCTCTGTGTTTGACGTGTGTCTGTGTGTTTGACGTGTGTCTGTGTGTTTGACGTGTGTCTGTGTCTGTGTTTGACGTGTGTCTCTGTGTTTGACGTGTGTCTGTGTTTGACGTGTGTCTCTGTGTTTGACGTGTGTCTCTGTGTTTGACGTGTGTCTCTGTGTTTGACTGTGTGTCTGTGTCTCTGTGTTTGACGTGTGTCTGTGTTTGACGTGTGTCTGTGTGACGTGTGTCTGTGTGTTTGACGTGTGTCTGTGTGTTTGACGTGTGTCTCTGTGTTTGACGTGTGTCTCTGTGTTTGACGTGTGTCTGTGTCTCTGTGTTTGACGTGTGTCTGTGTCTCTGTGTTTGACGTGTGTCTGTGTGTTTGACGTGTGTCTCTGTGTTGACGTGTGTCTGTGTTTGACGTGTGTCTGTGTCTGTGTGTTTGACGTGTGTCTGTGTCTCTGTGTTTGACGTGTGTCTGTGTGACGTGTGTCTGTGTGTTTGACGTGTGTCTGTGTGTTTGACGTGTGTCTGTGTCTGTGTGTTTGACGTGTGTCTCTGTGTTTGACGTGTGTCTGTGTCTCTGTGTTTGACGTGTGTCTGTGTGTTTGACGTGTGTCTGTCTCTGTGTTTGACGTGTGTCTGTGTCTCTGTGTTTGACGTGTGTCTCTGTGTTTGACGTGTGTCGTGTGTTGTGTGTGTTCTGTGTTTGACGTGTGTCTGTGACTGTGTCTGTGTTTGACGTGTGTCTGTGTCTGTGTCTGTGTTTGACGTGTGTCTGTGTCTCTGTGTTTGACGTGTGTCTGTGTCTCTGTGTTTGACGTGTGTCTCTGTGTTTGACGTGTGTCTCTGTGTTTTTCAGCTGTCGGACTCGGAGTGGGAGGAGCTTCTGGACGGGTTTGACGAGCGTTCGTATTTAAACGCGCGGAAATGGAAACCTGGAGACGACCCGTACACACTGTACGCCTTTAACCAGCGCGAGAGCGAGAGGATCCCCAGCAACCGAGCGCTCCGGGACACCAGGCACTACAGGTGAGAGACACGCCCCCTACAGGTGTGACACGCCCCCTACAGGTGTGACACGCCCACTACAGGTGTGACACGCCCCTACAGTGACCACAGGTGTGACACGCCCCCTACAGGTGTGACCCCCCCTACAGGTGTGACACACCCACTACAGGTGTGACACGCCCCCTACAGGTGTGACACACCCACTACAGGTGTGACACACCCCACTACAGGTGTGACACGCCCACTACAGGTGTGACACACCCACTACAGGTGTGACACGCCCCCTACAGGTGTTACACACCCACTACAGGTGACACACGCCCCCTACAGGTGTTACACGCCCACTACAGGTGTGACACACCCACTACAGGTGTGACACGCCCACTACAGGTGTGACACACCCACTACAGGTGTGACACACGCCCCCTACAGGTGTGACACACCCACTACAGGTGTGACACGCCCACTACAGGTGTGACACACCCACTACAGGTGACACACGCCCCCTACAGGTGTTACACGCCCACTACAGGTGTGACACGCCCCCTACAGGTGTGACACGCCCCCTACAGGTGTGACACGCCCACTACAGGTGACACACGCCCACTACAGGTGTGACACGCCCCCTACAGGTGTGACACGCCCCCTACAGGTGTGACACGCCCCCTACAGGTGTGACACGCCCACTACAGGTGTGACACACGCCCACTACAGGTGTGACACGCCCCCTACAGGTGTGACACGCCCCCTACAGGTGTGACACGCCCCCTACAGGCGTGACACACCCACTACAGGTGTGACACACGCCCCCTACAGGTGTGGGGGTGGGGGTGTGTGGATGCAGTGGGGGGGGGTTCTGCTTTAGGTTCTGTGTGTGTTTGTTTGTGTGTTTGTTTGTTTGTGTTTCTTCATGTTTGTGCAGTTTTTCTCCTCAATGAAGCAGCAGGAAACATCTGCCTCTGCTGCCCTGTGTCACATGACCAAATATTTACTCACAACTGATGCAGTGTCATGAACGATACCGATACTGATGCAGTGTCATGAACGATACCGATACTGATGCAGTGTCATGAACGATACCGATACTGATGCAGTGTCATGAACGATACCGATACTGATGCAGTGTCATGAACGATACCGATATGTCGACACACACGTGTCGGCCTCGTGTTTTTTCTGTGATCAGGAGAGGAGAGGGAATCTTTCTAGAAACACATGTTTTCTTCTTTTTTCTGCACAAACATTTACTTTTCTGAAATCTTCTCCGCGGTTAAAGAAGAGGGAGTAGGGAGTATTATACCTCTGTGAGGTTTGACTGTAACATGACAGATTTACATCAACATGGTCATTTTATTGTGCTGAAAATTTTTTAATTATTATTATTCAAACAAACTTGTGGTGTGGGAGCCTGGGGGGCGGAGCCTCGTACAGGAGGGTTTGAATTTGGCCCAGGAGAGATCTCTTGATTACTCAAACATGGATGACCCTTAAACCTGTTCAGTTCGGTTTGTGAAGAGGAACAGAATCAGAACCTGGTGAAGAACTCGTCTGTAAAACCTCATCTGTCGTTTCTCTGCGTCTGTTTCAAACCCTCCTGCTTCCTCCGAGCGTCTCGTTTCCTCCGAGCGTCTCGCTTCCTCCGAGCGTCTCGCTTCCTCCGAGCGTCTCGCTTCCTCCGAGCGTCTCGCTTCCTCCGAGCGTCTCGCTTCCTCCGAGCGTCTCGCTTCCTCCGAGCGTCTCGCTTCCTCCGAGCGTCTCGCTTCCTCCGAGCGTCTCGAGCGTCTCGTTTCCTCGAGCGTCTCGTTTCCTCCGAGCGTCTCGTTTCCGAGCGTCTCGAGCGTCTCGTTTCCTCCGAGCGTCTCGCTTCCTCCGAGCGTCTCGTTTCCTCCGAGCGTCTCGCTTCCTCCGAGCGTCTCGCTTCCTCCGAGCGCTCTCGAGCTTCCTCCGAGCGCCTCGTCCTCCGAGCGCCTCGTTTCCCTCCGAGCGCCTCGTTTCCTCCGAGCGCCTCGCTTCCTCCGAGCGCCTCGTTTCCTCCGAGCGCCTCGTTTCCTCGAGCGCCTCGTTTCCTCCGAGCGCCTCGTCCTCGAGCGCCTTTTCCTCCGAGCGTCTCGTTCCTCCGAGCGTCTCGTTTCTCCGAGCGTCTCCTCCGAGCGTCTCGCTTCCTCCGAGCGTCTCGTTTCCTCCGAGCGCCTCGCTTCCTCCGAGCGTCTCGTTTCCTCCGAGCGCCTCGTTTCCTCCGAGCGTCTCCTTTCCTCCGAGCGTCTCGCTTCCTCCGAGCGTCTCGCTTCCTCCGAGCGTCTCGTTTCCTCCGAGCGCCTCGTTTCCTCCGAGCGTCTCCTTTCCTCTGAGCGTCTCGCTTCCTCCGAGCGTCTCGTTTCCTCCGAGCGCCTCGTTTCCTCCGAGCGTCTCGCTTCCTCCGAGCGTCTCGTTTCCTCCGAGCGCCTCGCTTCCTCCGAGCGTCTCGTTTCCTCCGAGCGCCTCGTTTCCTCCGAGCGCCTCGTTTCCTCCGAGCGTCTCCTTTCCTCCGAGCGTCTCGCTTCCTCCGAGCGTCTCGCTTCCTCCGAGCGCCTCGTTTCCTCCGAGCGTCTCCTTTCCTCTGAGCGTCTCGCTTCCTCCGAGCGTCTCGCTTCCTCCGAGCGTCTCGTTTCCTCCGAGCGCCTCGCTTCCTCCGAGCGTCTCGTTTCCTCCGAGCGCCTCGTTTCCTCCGAGCGTCTCCTTTCCTCCGAGCGTCTCGCTTCCTCCGAGCGTCTCGCTTCCTCCGAGCGCCTCGTTTCCTCCGAGCGTCTCGCTTCCTCCGAGCGTCTCGCTTCCTCCGAGCGTCTCGTTTCCTCCGAGCGCCTCGTTTCCTCCGAGCGTCTCGTTTCCTCCGAGCGTCTCGCTTCCTCCGAGCGCCTCGTTTCCTCCGAGCGTCTCGCTTCCTCCGAGCGTCTCGTTTCCTCCGAGCGTCTCGTTTCCTCCGAGCGTCTCGCTTCCTCCGAGCGTCTCGTTTCCTCCGAGCGTCTCGTTGTCAGGTCATCGTTTGGTCTCATCTGGTCTCGGTCGTCGTCTCGGTTCCTGTTTATCTCAGACTCGTGGTTTCAGCGTCGGTGCAGTTTTATCTGTGTGAAGAGCTGAACAATTCTCTTCTGTTTAATTTCATTTTGAGGCTGGAGCCGCTTTGTGTGTGAAACGTGTGTTTGTTCAGATCACAGCAGAACCTCACACTTCAGTCTGTTTCAGTCTGTTTCAGTCTCTGTTTCAGTCTGTTTCAGTCTGTTTCAGTCTCTGTTTCAGTCTGTTTCAGTCTCTGTTTCAATCTGTTTCAGTCTCTGTTTCAGTCTGTTTCAGTCTCTGTTTCAGTCTGTTTCAGTCTGTTTCAGTCTCTGTTTCAGTCTCTGTTTCAATCTGTTTCAGTCTGTTTCAGTCTCTGTTTCAGTCTCTGTTTCAGTCTCTGTTTCAATCTGTTTCAGTCTGTTTCAGTCTCTGTTTCAGTCTGTTTCAGTCTGTATCAGTCTCTGTTTCAGTCTGTTTCAGTCTCTGTTTCAGTCTGTTTCAGTCTCTGTTTCAGTCTCTGTTTCAGTCTGTTTCAGTCTCTGTTTCAGTCTGTTTCAGTCTGTTTCAGTCTCTGTTTCAGTCTCTGTTTCAATCTGTTTCAGTCTGTTTCAGTCTCTGTTTCAGTCTGTTTCAGTCTCTGTTTCAGTCTGTTTCAGTCTGTTTCTCTGTTTCAGTCTGTTTCAGTCTCTGTTTCAGTCTGTTTCAGTCTCTGTTTCAGTCTGTTTCAGTCTCTGTTTCAGTCTCTGTTTCAGTCTGTTTCAATCTCTGTTTCAGTCTCTGTTTCAGTCTGTTTCAGTCTGTTTCAGTCTCTGTTTCAGTCTCTGTTTCAGTCTGTTTCAGTCTGTTTCAGTCTCTGTTTCAGTCTCTGTTTCAGTCTGTTTCAGTCTCTGTTTCAGTCTGTTTCAGTCTGTTTCAGTCTCTGTTTCAGTCTCTGTTTCAATCTGTTTCAGTCTGTTTCAGTCTCTGTTTCAGTCTCTGTTTCAGTCTCTGTTTCAGTCTGTTTCAGTCTCTGTTTCAGTCTCTGTTTCAGTCTCTGTTTCAGTCTCTGTTTCAGTCTGTTTCAGTCTCTGTTTCAGTCTCTGTTTCAGTCTCTGTTTCAGTCTCTGTTTCAGTCTGTTTCAGTCTCTGTTTCAGTCTCTGTTTCAGTCTGTTTCAGTCTGTTTCAGTCTCTGTTTCAGTCTCTGTTTCAGTCTGTTTCAGTCTGTTTCAGTCTCTGTTTCAGTCTCTGTTTCAGTCTGTTTCAGTCTCTGTTTCAGTCTGTTTCAGTCTCTGTTTCAGTCTGTTTCAGTCTCTGTTCAGTCTTGTTTCAGTCTGTTTTCAGTCTGTTTCAGTCTGTTTCAGTCTGTTTCAGTCTCTGTTTCAGTCTTTTCAGTCTTGTTTCAGTCTCTGTTTCAGTCTGTTTCAGTCTGTTTCAGTCTCTGTTTCAGTCTGTTTCAGTCTCTGTTTCAGTCTCTGTTTCAGTCTGTTTCAGTCTGTTTCAGTCTGTTTCAGTCTGTGTTTCAGTCTCTGTTTCAGTCTGTTTCAGTCTCTGTTTCAGTCTCTGTTTCAGTCTGTTTCAGTCTCTGTTTCAGTCTGTTTCAGTCTCTGTTTCAGTCAGTCTGTTTCAGTCTGTTTCAGTCTGTTTCAGACCTGGGCCGTGTGCAGCTCCGGCTCCTCGTTCGTCCGTTCGTTCTGTTTAATCTCATGTTTTATATTTGACTTCGTGTCTGGACTGAAGCTGCTTTGTTTTTATTTCAGACGTGTTTTTTTATTGACAGTTTTTTTGTTGAGCAGTTTCACTTTTTCACTTTTTCACTTTTTCACTTTTTCTCTGCTGAGTCAAACATAAACTGTTCAGTCTGAGCCGCGTCACAACACTGACATTTACTGATTTATAAAGAAACACTTTTCATATTCTGCACAACTCACTTCAACATTTTGACTCCACAAGATTTTCTGTTCCTCATGTGGAAAAAAGAACCAGGAACATGGAAATTCTAACTGGGAAT